TTTTTCGTTTGCTTGATAAGAAGTCAAGATATCTGATATGTTCCCAGTTCTTCTTCAGTATGAACTATCATATCAATTCATCAAGGTCTGTTAGTGGATAAAGAAAAGTTGTCTCAGTAATCGTTCTCGTGCTGCGCATGACTAATAACAACCCTTAACAACATGGGAATGTATACATGAACTCGTGACGTCAAGCGGGTGACGAGCGCGTGTCTGTGCGCATGCATGCTAGGTCTGTATTGCCCACATATGCCTACAGGGTCGGATTTCACTACACTCAAAGCACCCTGAAAACCACACCGGAAATGACATGTTTTCCCTACTTGCAATAATTTCTCAGTCAAACTTCAAACAAAAGAAAAGTGTCAAAGCACCATTGTAGAGCCTCCCAAGCAAAAAAACGTGAATAATTTATTGCTGGGAGAGTTGAAGAAACTCCAAAAGATATTAAAAGAAATCAGAAAGGTGAACTTTCACGGTACACTTCATCAGTAAGTGCTCTGTGACTGCATGTAATATATAATGGCAACTAAGGACTAGCCACTTACGTTAACGATACATTTCAGCAAATAATTTCACGGTACACTTCATCAGTAAGTGCTCTGTGACTGCATGTAATATATAATGGCAACTAAGGACTAGCCACTTACGTTAACGATACATTTCAGCAAATAAAAGATATCTATAACTCTTCATGATAACGTAATCTACGAATAAGTGCTGTGATCCTTCTATATACTACAAGAAAAATAAAACTACGCTTTTAAATTACACTGAGTTTGAAATTACTTGCTTTTGTCCAAGTAACAATCAATGAACACCGTGAAAAGTATAAGTATATATTTAGATAACAATATAAATTATGTTAAACATAATGTTCAAATGCTTTATTGTTAGTTCAACATTGTGTTTATATCTTCAACATTGTGTTTATATCTTCAACGTTGTGTTTATATCCTTCTTTTTTTTTGTTAGTGTTACAAAATACATTATCTATAAACTGATTGTTATTAACCCAGATGTTTAATCAAAACTAACGTAATAGTTTACAATGTTCATACTAACGTTTGAAATGTGCTATATTATCAGGCATTGGGTCATATTAAGAGTTGGACAGAAGGAGCAGATGCGCCAGGGCCCCGACCATATGGGGGCGGGCTCTTAACAAAAATAAAAAGAAAGAAAATATACATTTATGCATCGTATGCACTCGTATTTATTATAGGGACCCGAATGCTATTCTACTGTCCCAAGCCCCCTCTGACCTAAATTCGCCCCTGATAAGGTAAGAAGTCTAACTGCATCTCTTTTTTGTCATCAAACAGATTATTTACAACTGATATATGGCCTTTACCTCTACAGAATTAAAACTGCATCTTTTTTTGTCAACGGACAGATTATTTACAACTGATATACAGCCTTTACCTCTACAGAATTAAAACTGCATCTTTTTTTTTGTCAACGACAGATTATTTACAACTGATATACAGCCTTTACCTCTACAGAATTAAAACTGCGTCTCTTTTCGTCAACGGACAGATTATTTACAACTGATATATGGCCTTTACCTCTACAGAATTAAAACTGCATCTTTTTTTTTGTCAACGGACAGATTATTTACAACTGATATATGGCCTTTACCTCTACAGAATTAAAACTGCATCTTTTTTTTGTCAACGAACAGATTATTTACGACTGATATATGGCCTTTACCTCTACAGAATTAAAACTGCATCTTTTTTTTGTCAACGAACAGATTATTTACGACTGATATATGGCCTTTACCTCTACAGAATTAAACCTGC